TTTCCTGCGTCAATGTCAGTTCACTGAAAGGCTTTGACAAAGCTCAATGGGACGATCCAAAAGGCCTGCATCGTCTCTGGAAAGGCAGACAACATGTTGTGGCCTCAGGTGATGCATGCATTCACCCTTGTGGCACGGTTGAACTCTCGACCAGAGTGCGTGCATGCATGACATGTGCAGTGAACTTGAATCAAGGTCTGATTCAATTCGGGGAGGATTTCTTCGTGAATTGTAACCTCTCCGAAACAAATTGGAGAACAATCGAGCTGCACTTCAAAAAAAGATTGATGCTGCACAGGCTAGTTAGTTTGCGTTTAATGTGCATGCATGCTTGATGGTGCATAATTATTGAATTGTTTGTGTTTGATCCCGATCCCTCTCCAGGTTGAAGACCATGATGATTTGCAGGATCTGGTGGGTAAAGCGAATGAGACCATGGACCGCTTTACCAAGTTCCTCTCCGACAACAACATGAAGTGAGGGATACTGAGGTGGCCACCTACTACAGCTGCTGGCCAATCGAAACCTTGGATCTTGGCAAATGTATTTGAATCATTTGGGTGAACATTTGCCTTAGGGGACCAGGGATGATGTAGCAGCTTTTTTGAACCAACAGGATGGGCATTCTCGAGTAAACAAACGAGCTTTAGTTTTATAAACATATATATGCTAATGTCACAGGAATGGCCAAACATAATGTTGTGACCGCGTGCCCATCACATAGCACTTTTGAGCCAACAGTGCACTAGTGATTTAGCCGATCTCAAGATCTGAAGCCCCGCTGCCAGAAGTGAAAATGAATATATGCACCGGCCATTATGCGTACTCTCAAGATCATTTGTCCATGCACCGTGCATGAATTTTCCATCTAGAGTGTTTGTTCACAATATGTCTCATTGCCCTGCTTCCTATCTTGGAGGCCCTCATTCTGAATTCCATCATGACGTACCCCATGTCCTGCAAAAGCAGCTGGAATTGGTCAGTGGTGGAGCCACTGAACTGCAATGTGATATTTTAAGGTTGTCAGCTTCAAAGCCCACAAAACATGTCATTCAGGTTTCCCACTGAAATATCCATGGGTCATGCCTGACCCTGCCCAGATGGAGTCAGTTCACGGCGCAATGGAACAGCTCCGTTGCCACTTGAAGGTGCCTTGGATTGATCGGTTTCCCGAAGCGTTCGCCAGGGGTGGTGGTTGCGGATAGGGGGTTGTGTGTGCACCCAAGGAAAGTGGTGGGCATGTGCATCCGGAATCGGCACAGTTGGGATGCAAAAGTGGCCACAATGACAGTCGAGACTTCTGGGTTGGTACTGACATCAGCGTAGTCCCTGTCCTGGCATTGAAAACCTTTTTCCATTTTGATTTACTGTAAAACCTTTGTTTAGATACGGGGTTTTATGATTCGGTATTCTGTTTCACAATTATCCTCAATTGATCCGAGGAAATTCATCAGGTTCGGGTGCCGGTCAAACATCCAAAGCTTCCTGGACGGTTGATGATGGAGACCACCCCGATCATATTTCCGCATGAGTTGCTCAGCTTCCTTTTTGAGGAAGTAAAGATTCACATCCCTCAGGAGAGCACCGAAGCCTATTGGAGGAACGCTAGATCAGCGAATGCCCCTTGGGCCATGAACTCCATGGCCTCGAATAGGCACCATCCTTGTGGGCTCTATGGGGATGCCGCTCGGCTGAGTACGCAATATCAAATGGAGAAGCAAGTGGGCCTCTTTTTCAACCTTTGCCTTTGGAGACCCAGAAGCATCCGTGCAAGTCGGTTTCTTTTATGGAACATGGAGGATGCCAAATTATGGAAAAACAGGACGTGCAACGCTGTGCTTCGAATCATGGTCTGGAGCCTCCGGGCATGCTTTGCTGGAAGGTTTCCAACACATGATTGGAAAGGAAGGGATTTGCGACCAACAGATCCAAGAGCTGGGTGTCTCCTCACTTCGGCCGGTGACTGCTTCACAGTCACCGAGTTGAGAGGTGACTGGGAGTGGCACAAGCAAATCTGGAGATTTAGAGCATGTTCTTGGAAGTCGATCAACCCTTGCTTTTTGTGCCCATGTTCGGCAAAGGGGAGGGGCCCCATGCTATACCACACTGTTGGTCCTGATGCGGAACCTGTGACTGCACGCACTCATCTTTGTGCGGTGTTGTGTTCCTGGGTTTCCTCAAACAATCTTTAAGGGTTTTGATCAAAGGGTTTTGATCAAACTGTTCTTCCGAAAGAATCTAAGGAATGGCTCGCACAAATCTTCACGACATCTGAATTCGTGGCACAACGATTGAAGAGCAAACACATCTGTGACTGGGCTTGACTGGTGTTTGTGTGAATATGGGCGGTGGTTGCTTTTCGTTCTTCGCTAGTTGCTGCTAAATCTGGGCCTTAGTGAGGTCCACTCATTTTGCTTGATGGCTTCCACCCATCTCTTATCAAGATTTGCTCCATGCACGTGATCAATCTTGGACTCCTGTTCAGTCTAAACGGGGGCTGTATGATACTTGGACACGATTCAACCGCTGTCTCGTTTTGTTGTAGTTATTTGACCCCACGTTCAAACTCTTTGCTGCCATGGTGCCGCTTCCTCCAGGTCCTGATGATGACCGTGGGGGATTGATTGCACTGAATCCTTGGGTGTGGGGGGGGACATTTACTTGGGTTCTTCATTGTCCATATTGGATCAGTGAAATCAATCCCCCCCAGCGTTCATCTTTTGCTCCTGGAAGCAGAGATGAAATTGTGCCAGGAATCTACTCTGCCAGGAACTCCAATGGTTTGGAGGTGGTTCGTATCAAGATCAATTGGATGAATCCTACAGAGCATTCAAATCCTTCTGTACTTCGACTGGCATAAAGCACTCGCAGCCACCATTTCTAGTGAAAATGGTTTCTTGGCCTATTCAGTGGAGGGGTTGCGAGGACAATCTGTTCAAACCATGTCGATCTAGCCAAAGTACTTTGAACATCTTCGAACATTGCACCAACTGAGATCTTGAAAAAATCGGGGGACGTGCTCTTTACAGCTAAAGCACACAATGGTCGGTGCATATCCCAGTGGATCGCTTTTGAGCTCCAATCTGCGATATCATCTGGGAGATTTCCGGATCATGAGCGGTTGGTTCTTGCGTCAACAGCAACGTTTCTTGGTGCAATTGGTGGATGTAGTCGCCCTGCAGTATATTTGCCGTTCTTTCCCGTTTCCCTCCAAAAAATCTCCTTGTTGATGTTGGAGAGCTGCAGCAAGCAAGGACCGCCATCGTGCGATTCTTCTTTATCATGGAAGACAACCCGCGCCACATGTGTCTCGTTTGATTCACTGATATGATTTTAAAGTTTGTGAGTTTGGTTGCAATCGGTGCAGCCCTGGCCAATAGGGTATATACCTGATCTTGCTATAAGTGTGACCCAGGTCGGAAAGGGCGGCATATGAACTTTGGAAAGAAGGACTGCTTTTTTTTGGAAGCGTACAAGGGCCTGCAAGTACTCAGTGTCAGGCAGGTTCAGAGTTCTTTCAAGCCTTCAACTGTAGTTCATGCATCATGCGTGCATGATGTACGTATGAAAAAACAAGAACGCCTGTAGGCTGCACAAATGGGAGTTCCTCGTGCGTCCAAAGGTGCATGAGCCTTCGTTGCATGTGAAAATGAGTTATATTGATCGAGTTGTTTTTTGGTGGAGTCATCTACTTTCACCATCTAAAAGAATGAGTGCGCGCATGAATGCATGCTAAGATGCTTGCACACCTGGCGTGGACTGCACGAATCTATAGAAGCTTGGCATTCTGAGTTTGCAAGTGTTCACTAGATGAACAGGCACTGCGCCTTTGAAGTTGTGGCTGGACAATTTTGCAATTTGTTCATCATTTTTGGTAGGCATGTCGGACCATGACATGGTACTGTATACTATGGCCAGTAAGGAGCCAACCCTCGCTATACGCACTGCTTCCATGACGAGGACGCGATGAGGTGGCTCAAGTGTGTCTTTGTGGAAATTTGGGGTTCAGTGCAGCTGATCAGTTGGTGCAGGGCACATGGGTTGATGTTCAAACACATCTGAGGTGTATGCAACCAGGCCACCATGAAGCATAGATCAAGATGGGCATTGCGATGCGCGCGGCTACGGCTTAAGGCCATGAAGCTCCGTGCTATGCAGTGTCTTGGTCTCCAACCATCCACCATTTTGGTTTGATTCATCTTGGTGGGATCCATTCCCTAGTTTTCCACTGCCCTTCAATCAATCTAAGGCTGAATCGCTCATCAACTTCTCGGCGGTGATACGCTAGAAAATCTAGCGTTCGAAGGTAGCCATGAAAAGGTGAGCGTGAAAAGGCTGTTGTTGAAACCGACATTTTTTCAGGGGTGGTTCGACTTGTAGGGTATATATATAATATAATATATATATATATTATTTTATATTATATTATATATTATATATATATTATATATTATATATTATATGTTATATATTATATATTATATATTATATATTATATACCAGCACCCTCTAAAGGGTTTTTTTTCTGGAGGCTTTTGCAGACTTAAAAGTCGCAGGTGGTGACCCGTTGGAGGGTGCTGCTATATATGATATATATGATATATGAAGCTTCAAAACTTTAGAACACGTAACTCTATATACAGGATAGAGAGAGAGGGAGAGCGATAAAGACTCACTGTCTCAAGTGAACCCGGCGGGACAGAATACAAAAAATACATATACACAAATCTCAGATGATGTTTTGTGGTATGTTTGGCCTGTTCGGCTGCTAATTGTCCTTCTCCCCCTCAGATCCTGGAGCTTTATGCAGATTTTCGTTGATCCTCAGGTTGTGGTGACCGCAGAAAGACTCAAAACGAAAACAACAACTCCGGCGCAAGACGAACGACCGGTCGCCGCCCACCCCCCAAACGAGGAGACCGGTCGCGCCGCGGCCGGACCGCGCGAAGTCGCGAAACCAACGGCCTCGCGGCGAAACCAACGGCCTCGCGCCTCCTCAGGAGGAGGAGCGAAAGCTACCGGTGAAGGTCTTCAAGAATCTGGAGACCTTCCGGTCTCGGCGCGTGGATTGCTGGGCCGCGCGGTCTGTTTTCAGTCAAGACGGCGCGGTTCCGCGGTTTTAGGGCCGCAGCCGGTGCCGTTTGGGTGTTTTGCGGGTTGCATTGGTGTTGTTTCCGACCGGTGCCGACGGGTTTCAGGGTTCTGGGAGAGGAAGACATCGATTGATGTGAAGGAATTTGGTTCGCAACGATGTGAAGACATCGCAGCAGGAAATGGCGACCTTCAGGCTGTTTGGGCTAGACCGCTACGCTGGACGTGGAACTAGATCCCAGACACGACTGGTGGGACTATATGTCCATTTACCCGGGGTCAATGTATGCAAATATGGCAGTCGTGTGGAGTGTTTGCATGGGGATGTGTCGCAACCAAGAACTCATCCACGTTAGGGATCATCCCATAAAACTGTCCAATCTTCACCACCCATGGCTTCACCACCCATGGGTGTATATGTGTGACCATCCAATGGGTGTCCTTGCTGGACTACCCGACACTACTTATAGGCTACTGAGAGGGTGTGTCCAGCCAGGACACCCAGACAGGATGTGTCCAGGTTTGGGCGCACGTGTGTCCAGCCTGGGGGATGGTTGAAAGCACCAAGTCAACGGCCTAAGTGACGGGTGGCCATATGGAGGGGCACCAGGGTTTTGCAAAAGAGGGGCTTTCATGCTTCTCTTGGGATGGATGTGCTAAATTGCCTGAAACCCACTACGTATATCAAACCTCTGAGATTACTCATCAAGACTTGCCTGGGCCGTAGCTTGTAGTGAAAATGTACTGGTAGTTGTAATAATTTCAGATGGAAACAGGGAAAACCAGACAAAAGGTTTATCCCGTGAACTAACAAGCACTTGATGAATCGTCCATGATTCTTCAGTGGACACTGCCTCTTCCAACGCTGCCCTTGTTGCACCCCCCGACACAGCACATGCAATTGCTTCTCGTTGCTCAGGTCGTGAATTGCCCGGAAGGCAACCACAACTGGTTTCGCATCTCGCGCGTTTTGGTCAGCTTGCGATTGCTGGGCCTGATCGATGAGGTGAGGCGGACTTTGTGGTGCTCACTGGGTCTGACTCACCTTCCATGGTTCCGTGGATGGCAGGGTCCCTTGGAAGACTGCTTTCTGAATGCCAAACAGATCAAACAGGGGGAGTTTCAATTTGTACTTGGACAAGTTGCAGGTATAGTGTTTGATGACTGACTTCCAGCAAAAAGGGGGATAGGTCGGATAGGTCTCAGCAATTCTCCTAAACGGTTTGTGGGACAAGAGAAATCCATTCCTCCACATGCTATTTGACATGATGGTCATGGTGATGTCGTGTGTTTCCTATGCTATCATGCTATCACTGCCTCGTGCCTCGTTCCAGGCAGAGGCCTTCTACCTTTGCCTCGAATCGCTTTGGGCTGCGGGCGACCTACCTGGCTTCGCCGTGCATTCCATGTCTCTTGGCGTTCGCAGCGCATCCCGGCGTGGTCGGTCGACCTGGATGGTTGTCAAGGTGGTCAACTTACCCCGGTGAGGCACGTTCCATGGACGTGCAGTGAAAACCACCTGGAACCTGGTCGTCGGATTTGATGCTCTTCCTTACCTGGCCCATGCCGGCTGCCATGCCACGGTACCATGTGAGGTGTTCTGTTCGTGTAGCTGAAGTTGGTCGTACATTTGAGTTCCAACCTCCACATCCACATCCATCCCGCACCCTCCACATCCATTCACCGGAAGCTGCGCCTGCGCTCGTCGGCCACCGCCTTCCGACCGCGACCGCGGAATTCCGACCGCCTGCCAGGCGCATTTGGCGCGAGTCCGCTGGGCTCGAGAAGCGACCGCTGCCCAAGCGGCAGAAACGTCCCCGAGGGCCCTGCGCCTGCGTGATCTCCTAGGACGCGCGGAGCGATTCGCGAAGAAACAAGGGGGTCATGGAAACTGGTCAATGAGCCAAGGGGGTCATGGAAAATGAGCCAAGTGTGGAAGCGCAGTACTGCACATGCTGCTAGAGGTTGTTTTGACTACTTCCCCCTACTGAATAATGCACACAGTAGCAGAGGTTTGGGGGGGTTCTTGAATTTCAAGATGCACCAATGTGGAGTGTCCCATTGCCAGCAGCCAGTATATAACAGTCGGCAAGAGATCATCACTTTGAGAAAGGCCTGCAAGCTAACCATCATCATCCACCAGGCTCTGGTAATGAGATATACCCAAGAGATAGATTATAGATGATCTTCTTTTAGGATGGGGATCTTTGTTGAAGCTGTTTTTGTGTTTCCAGCCACCGGATGGGCCAATAGTAGAATGGATGGTGTGAAGAACGCAACAAATAGGACCTCTGGTAAGTGAAGAACACCACGCAGATCGATGATGATACAAGAGCCATTGCGATGTGATGGTGGGTTTGCTTCAGGATAAAGAGGGACCTGGAAAACAGCATCCCAAGAGATCTAAGGATCGAGCCCCAATCAGGTTTGACAGTGTTCAGGAAAACCAACTCAATCTGAGAAAACCGGTCGTGGTCATAAGGCCTCCAGAAAGACACTCTTCCAGGAGTCACAAAGGGGTGCCTATTGGAGGATAGGGGTGCCCATTATCCACTCACTTAGGGACAAAAACCACCCGTTTGTGAGCCCTAGTTCATGACTCTTCATTTTGATTGAGACCTCTTGCATCTGGCATCCTCCACCCCGTGTGCATCGAGGACCTGGCGGCCGACCGCAGGGCGGTATAGTCGAACGGAGATCTTTTTTTTAGTGAGCAACCCAGAGGTATAGTCGATTGTATAGAGCAGAAGGAGATGGCGGAGATGGCAGTTGTTGTTGTTTTTTCAATATCGCCAAGAAAAAGGATCGTGATGTTCTTCAAGCTGTTGATGGCCAATGTAGAATATATCAATTGGTAGTTTGGGGCAAGTGTTTGACCCCATACACCTCTCTCCCAACCTGAGGCTGAATAGGACGGTGGCCAAGTTGTTTTTGGACGGTGGCCGACTTCCAACCAAACACGAGGACCAACGGGCACGTGCACCATCTACTGTATATACTGTAGTATCCATAGTATAATATAGTACGTATAATACCTCTGGCTAGTTTTGGTGGGTCGGAAACCGGTTTCCTTCATGATTTGAGCGGTCATCCTGTTTCACAAGGCCTTCGCAACCAGATCACAGACTTGATCCCCTTCCAGTGGAGATTGGATAGGTCAATATACCTTCTGTAGTAGGGTTTCAATGCGACAGTCCTCATTTGCATAATTACTGAAGGTGGAGGCGGAGGCATTGAATCTTCTTCAATAAATTGACATTGGATGGTCAGCCGTCCTACACAGCCTACGTTTAAATCAATATAGATGGATGGAACATGCCGCAGTTTGATGACATGGTCTTTCTATGCCCAGGATGTGCAGCAGTGCAGAAACCACGAAAGCTCTTCAGAAAACATCAAGCTGCCAGCGGGTCAAAAGGGGTGCTGAACTTAGAGGATAGGGGTGTCCATTATTCACTCACTTAGGCTTAGGGGCAAAAAACATTCCTTTGGAACTCCTGGTGTATGTCTCTAGCCGCTTGCTGTACACTAAGCCAGGATGCGATGAAACCTCAGGTGTTTAGAAACCGTCCAGAGGATGAGAAGAACTCTGCTGAATTAGTGTGAAACTTCTATAATGTGTTTGCAAGAAATGCAATGAATGTATATAGACCGTTGATGAATACAACCCCCAACTTTGATTCGTTAACAAACCTCTTCATATATGGTGGCTTTTGTTGATTGTCTGCATAATTCTTCGCAGGCATGTTCTGTCCAGGCAGTGTTTCACCAGGTTGCCAAAACCCAAAGAACATACCATTTCCGCACTGAAGACACAGTGCAGACAGGCCAGGATCATTGGATGAAGCTATGGACCAAACACATTTTCGGCCGCACTCCCGGTCGAAGATTGTCGAAGGGGATTCTACGATTGCCTGGCCTTTTTTGTTGGACATACCTCCGTCGAAGACGGATCTAGGTGTGCCGCAGAGGGAGATCACACGGCACGAAGGTGCACCGACCAACTGGAGTCCAGGAACTGCTTCCGAAGGGGACCAGGCCCCGACGTAGGTTTGGATGTGAATTAGAACATCATATTAGAACTATTTTCCAGGACACCCTTTCAGGAGTGCTAGGAAAGGTGATCCCTTAGAGGTAAAACTAATTGGTGACCCAGGCCACGATATGTTGGATATTCAGGTGGGGGTGGCAAGAGGGAGGATCTGGAAAAGACTGGGAAGTTAAATCTGTAGATTGTATTGAGATTGCCCTTGCCCCACTATGATATTGAGGTTCATATATGGGGCATTCGACTTGCCAAAAATTCGACACCATGGCATATTACATGTTCGATACATCACCTTTTTCTGGGCCCGGGAAAGCAGCGGAATTCCAGCGTCAGAGCGTGGTCGCGCGTGCGAAAAAGAGCGGAAACGGCCGCCGCGGGTGTCTCTTGACATCTTTTGACTGGTCAACTCTCCTGTTCACGGACACCCCGTTCTTGGAGAAATCTGAGGTTCGGTCTGTTCAGCCCTTCGCTGCTCAGGTCGGCCGGTCGGCCACCGGTCACCGCAACGTGAAGACCCGCTGTGAAGACCCGGGGGGGCGCGACCTTCCGGGCCGAGCGGTGTTGGCCCAAAAAGACCGCGGCGACAGCGGCGTGCAGGTTTGGGTCTAGAAGTCCCACAGAAGACCTGGTTTGGGACTGGAAGACTTACCTATTTTGACCCATAATAGATCATAATGAATATATGGCAGTCCCATTGGAACAGATGCCGATTCAGAATCATACACCCAAACACAACCTGCTTTGGACTGACATATTTACCACATTGACCCCTGTTCAATCAACCACCTCATATGATCTCATATATAAATACAGGTCGTGTTTGGGAGTGGCTTCGCGTCCCAGCGCGAGACTCGTGAGTGTGTTTCGTGTAGCCTGGCGAGTTTAACTTGTTACTGTCGACAATTGAATGACATCTGAACAGCAACAAGTTGCCTGACATGTCGACATTTAACTTGTTGCTGTTAACATGTGTTTAAAGATGCGTTTTTGGAGACAAAAGACTGGACATGGACCAGCGTGGGCTAATAAGTCTCGATTTGAGCAAACATAATGTTACATATTGGGTCGGTCCGAACTTACCTGTAACAGGACCTGTAAACAAGCTATGTTTGAACAAGGCCTGCAACCTAACCATCAGGTAATAGTAATAGTATAGACCCAAGTTACATACACATTGGCACCCTAATGTGATCAAATTGTAAATACCATTAAATGACGATTCCATCCATGGACCGGATGGTCTGGGATTGGATCTTGATGTCTCTCCGTCGCTGAATCCAACCTCCAGTCCACCACCACTCACGAACATGGTCTGTTTGGGGGGAACCCAGAGAGCCTAAAACTCCTCCCTGGTGGGTGTACTTGATCAAAATCTATCAAGCTGATGTGAGCATCCAGGGCCGGTGCAAATGTCAAGTGGGTGCGCACAGGGTGTCTTTTTCCTCACGTTCCATGTAAATGGACTTCACTACCTGTTTGTAGAGGAACATGGTCTTACCAGTGGCCATGCCATCCATTTGCATGTTAGTGAATTGGACTTTACTCCAAGTGCTTAGGTCCTAGGTGCCCTTTCTCCCACTGGACCCACCTTCGCTGTTTCATGCACGCACGCCACACGCAAAAGCATTAAAGGCGTGGTGACACACCACCGCAACTGAACGCTTCGTGACGCAGGTTTGGCTCAAGCAGTCCTTGGTCGGAGAACACCCCCCCAGACTGCCAGGCTTGGATGAAGGGGGGGCCGTGGGTTCACATAGAGTCCAAGCATGATTGATTTAAATGGCTTACTTCTAGCAGGTTTTAGCAAAGAACCATTGTTTTACTATGAATTTCCAGGTGTTTGAGTGTGCTAGAGATGGCTTTGTTCTGCCGAGTTTGCATGTAGACTGCTCGAGTGAACAGAGTGAGTAAAAGCATCCGTATGGCTCAGACCTTGGTGGTTGCAGGCAGTTGGAGACCTCTAACTTTGGAGAGAAAAGAGGATGCACCAAACCTGGTTCAGTCTTGAATCATTGAACCTTGAGACTCTATCCAATTTCCAATTCAATGATGTCAAGCCTTAATTCCTTATTAGAATAACAATTAAAGCTTCCTGTTTCTTTGGATGGTAAGCCCCGTGGCAGGATGCCGGAGTACCACCCCGGCACAGATATCGAGATCCCTAGTGCCACTCGGACTGCGACGTAGACGTCAGCGGCACGGGAGAGAATGGAGATGCACATCAGCACCAGCCAAAGAGAGTTCGCTTGAAAGAGTGGCAAATCATTGGGCTAATGTATTACACCCTACTGCAGATGAACATGGACCCTGAAGCCTGTTTTTCCTCACATTTCCCAATAATTTGCACTTATGGTGTCCAATGATTTTCAATTTTTCCTACTGATTCCCAATTTGAAATAATGATATTCAATTAATGTTGGTTTTCCTTGTTTTTCATAGATTAATATTATATAGGGGAAATCATTCCAATAGTAGCCTTCCAGTTGAGAGCCATAAGCTCAAGAATGATTTCAGGATCCATGTTTGGCATGCGGGAAGCTATTGGATCAACCATCCAAAGGTCTCGGTGATGACTGGTAGAAGCTCTATTCATGAGTGGACAGACTTTTCATGGAAACTGTTATATATGGTGTCCGTTTGGTCTATGCCCGCTCCATTTCATGACCAATGATTATGGACGAAACCATGGAGGTTGGTAGGGGAACTGGAAGCTTTCATCGCTTAAAAGGAGTTTTTTCCATTTGTATTTGACATGTAAAAAATGGCAGCGGAACCTTGATCTGCCTGCAGAGATTCCGATTGCATTGATATATGTTCAGTGAAAAAGCCTTGAACAATCTGTTCGACTGAGTCACGGGACTCGTTTGTTTGAGAGATTGAAACCGTTTTCAGCAAAGGTGGGAAGTATTCGCAGACTCCCATGGTTGGAGGGGCTCTCCTCAGGCTGAACCTAGTATTTTCAAGGGATAGATAGATGAGGTCCATGTCCGACGTCCCCATGTCCCAGGGAAGATGGTAATCATTTCGAGGCAATGCCTTCCACTTTCATGATTGTTCCAGGGAGTGTGCCAGCGTTTGAGACAGAACTAGCAACCACTACCAAACCATTTCGACAATGGGGTCGTTGGCAAAGATTCATTGGGGCCGGGGTTTCTCTCCCGCCCTGAATTTATGACGGATCCAAAGGATGCAGGGATTACTATATAACCCAGACACTCTATGTATGGCACACTTGCCTATGTTGACCCGGAATCAATGTAGGTAAATATGTCAGTCCCACTAGGAGTGTTTGGGGACTATAGCAACACTCGGTCACTGTTGGTTGAAAAGGGTCAATAAAGGTAAATATGTCAGTCCCATGGAGTGTTTGGGTACTGTGGCATTGGGCCATCTCGACCTGTTTGATCCACCAAGTCTCCCCCTGTTCGCTCGACGTGTCACTCGTGTCTGTCGCCTCAGGGGGTGCCGTCGAGCGGCTTTCGAAATGCCATTCCCAACACCAAGTCCCGCGCTCGGTGCGCGGATGGACACGCGGAAGGACACGCGGAAGCGCGCGTGGCCACGTGTGTTGTCCACCACCATCAACGGTGGACACCGCGGTTGTGCAACGTGGTTTTCGACGTGGTTTGGCCGTGGCGTTCATCCACCCCGGATGTGGCGTTCACTGCGTCTATCGATCCAGCGATGTGGCCAGTAGTAGTCGGGGTGCCGCAGGCACTGCC